CTTGTTCTAAGTAGGTGCTTTAGACCACTGAGCCATCTCTCCAGCCCTGTATCTATTTCTAATAGGACATCAATATAAGGAAATTTGGGGGTTTTGTTTATTTATTTATTTTTATTGAGAAATAAATATGAATGAGACAGTTTCACTGCTGATTAATAGGACAGTTTTGATCATTGATACACTGTACATTGTTATCTTCTTAGTGGTTATTCATAGTACAAGAAGCAGACAGGATATTCTGTCCAAACACTATGAGTACACCTCTTTCTTCTCATTGAATCAAGTGAAAGTAGCTGTAAATTTATCCTATTTTGTATATACAAATACAAAATGATCTTTCCTTTGTATCCTTTTTTTTTTGTCCTGTCAGAGGTGAATATTCTATTGGCATCTAAATACTATAGATGTTTGAATTCAACTAAACAACACTGTCTAGCAGTCTATAATATTAGTGGGTTATCCTCAGAAGTTATTGACTTGAGCCTTTTACAACTCATCGTATTAATATGGATTTGCTTTATATACCTCGTTGTTATACTTTTCTGCTGGATGGTTAAGACCAAGATATAGCAAGACCTATATAACAAGAAATGTAACTTTTGTATCTGATAAGGTCAGCCAAGTACTCTCAGGATTTATCCTGTAGCCCTGTACCACCCTTTGTACATCCTTTTGTCAGTGTCTGACATGAGGATGAGTCACGGCCATTGCTTGACCAATTTGTTCTCTGTGAAAGCTTGAGAAAATGTTTTTTCTCTCCATGTGACTCTCCCCAGGCTCACTTTACATCATCAAACACGTTCCTCTGTGGCTCCATAATCTTCTTGATCAGAAAATTTGGAACACAACTGAGTTACATGTTGTTACAGTACAGGTTCTCCTATGTCCCGAGTCGTCACTGACTTTGAAAAGCTAGGGCCAAAATGTTGGCTAACCTTGCAGCTCTTCCTTTTCTCCAGTTTTGAACTGCTAACGTAGGTTGTTAACCCTCCAGAAGAGAAGCTAATTATTAACCTGCAATATATGCAGTTCGGTTTACCCAATCTGTCTAAATATCAAACATTTTGGCATATCATGGAACAGGTATTTTCCACCAGATATTGATATGTTGAACTTTAAGTCCTTATAGAATATGAAGGAAAAATAATTACATAAAAGTAGAAATAAGCATTTACATATTTTTACAAAGAAATTTAGAAAACTAACCATATACGAAATGGTAAGTCCTTATACTAGGGAGACAATACGATATTTACAGCTGTGAGTCTGGTTTATTTCACTAATAAGTATATCTTCAAGTGACATCCACTTAAATATGAAGGTTTCAAGTTTATCATTCTTTATAGCTGAGTAGTACTCCATTATATAAAAGTACCACATCTTTTTCAACCATTCCACATGTGACGGGCATCTTGGTTGTTTCCAAGATTTGGCTATCACAAATTGTGCTGCTATAAACATAGATACATATATATCACTATGATATGATGCTTTCAGTTCCTCCGGGAAAATTCAATATAAGGGAATTTGACTTCAACACAAAAAGCTAAAGTTTATTTACTCTTTTTTTAAAAAGTCAACTTATAAGCAGCCTTGTTTGCAGAGCACATTCGTGGTCTTTAAAGAAACTTCATCCTGCTTCCTAGCACATGGCTGATGAGTCACCAGTGTTTCCTGGGATGCTACAGAAAACACAACAGATAAGAGTTCTAAGTGATAGAAAATTTAAAATGTAGAATAACTGCCTTAATGAGCATGCTATTTCAAGAGAACTGGCGTGGTGACACACATCTGTAGTGCCAGCACTCCAGTGGAATGTGCATGCTCTCACATTTGTCACCTCAATCATTTATTTATTTTTGTACAGAAAAATCCTTTTATTATTAAACATCTTATCCTAGAAATAAGTTTTTAAAGTAGAATGAAAAATATTTTCAACTCCCACACACCTGTCACCCAGCTTTAGCCATTAACCAGTGTTTGCTTTAGTTCATATTTTAGCTGTTCTTTTTTACCCTAAAGTTTTCTTGAAGTAAATTGCATCATTTCCCCCTTACCTGCTTCCTGGGTGTCTCTAGCAGAGAGCTTGTTTTCCTCAAGCCATGGCCTTATGATTACTCTCCACAAAATAAACAGCGATTCCTCTGTGTCATCCAGCACCCAACCCATGCCCACTGCCCCCTGATACAGAGATCTGTCCAGATGAGAATCAAAAACCATGTGCTGCTCCTTGTTGAGTGATTTCTTAGGGCCCTTTTCATCTCTAACAATCCTGAGAGAAAGGAGAAGCAAGAGGACTGATGAACTGGCCTTGGCACAGGCTCTCGCCTGCTCGCTTCTTTCCATCCCTCTCCATTCAGGACTCCTTCCAGGCCTAGTGTAGGTGCATGCGTTATTTTGAAAATAGCTGTCTTAAAACTTAGACCTCATTCCTAGGAGACTCTTTACAGGACATCAGAGATTCAATCAGTTTTGAAACTAGGAGAAAAAAATCAGTTAGATTCAAATTTGTTTTCAGAAAGCGAAGTATTCACATCAGGCTCAGGAGGCAACAAATTCGAGGGCTTCCAGAATCCCCATCAAAACCTGTAAACAGTAATGAGTTTTGAGTTGCAGATGTGGTACAGTGGCACAAGCACTTGCCTGGCAAATGCAAGATCCTGAGTTCAATTCCTGATATATGTAAATAGAAACTTGTTCTTTGCCAGGCATGGTGGTATAGCACTCAGGGGTCTGAGGCAGGAGGATCCTTGGGAGTTCAAGACCAGCCTGGGCTACAAAGTGAGCTCAAGCCTGGCCTGAATTGCATAGTGAGACCCTGTCTCAAAAACACAAAAACATGGGGCTGGAGAGATGGCTCAGTGGTCTAAAGCACCTACTTGGAACAAGCTTGGCAAAGCACAGGGACCGCGGTTCAATCCCCCAGCACCACATGCCAGCCAGCCGCGCCCCCTGGTGGGCTGAGCTGGCCACACACACACACACACACACACAATAAATGTTAAAATAAAAAAAAAAAAACACAAAAACAACAACAAAAAAAAAAACAGTTCCAACTTTGGGGCTGGGGCCACCCAAACACTGCTGTCAAATTAAGAACTGGCAAGGGGACTTCTCTCTGACTCCTGTCAACAGCAGCTTTAAAGGAAAGGTGGTGTAACTGTGGAATCTTCTGGGTGACGGTGGTGTTCAACGGAGAAAGAGGGGCAAACTGCCTGAAAAGGATGCCAGGGCAAAGGCTGAAGGACACAGAGGAAGTCCAGCAGTGTCTACAACTCCAAGGGGACAGGCAGGCACCCCCAGCAGCAGCCTCTCTCCACACCCCAGCAGCTGCCTCCAGGAGTCCTGTTTGGTGTCACTAAATCAGTGATCAGAGTCACTTTGGTGTATTTAATGTCACCATGAGACTATTTGTGATTGACTAGCTCAGCAGGGCAACTTGGAATAAGAACCTTTGAGTTTTTCCAATTAGATAAAAAAAAAAAATGTTGCTGAAAGCAATTTTGCAGAAAAGAAGTCCTATGATCAGAAGGGTGGGAGGGAATGGTTTTCAAGCTTAGAGGAGGTCAGGTAGCACCTGGGTGTGTTTATATATATTGGCATCTGTTTTCAGAAGTATTTCTATCAATTACAGCTCCCCACACTCCTAGACAGAGGTTCACAGGGTATCAACCTGAGATCCTGGGGAAGAACATTAGCTGATGTGTCACCAAGAATTCAACAGGTAAGTGGATGGCTGCTAGTAATTATAATTTCAGTATGTCTCTGTATCATTTTGCCAGTACTTGTTACATCAGATCATTGTACCTCACTCCCATTCAAGGTAAAATACTTTTGCTCTTTTCATACGGCAATTGCTAAGCACCTGTTCATATTTGACATGACCTGTGCTCCCAGGTAGGAGCAAAAAGAAAGGAACCATCTTTCTGGTTTATACCAAGGAAGAATCACCCCAGAAAATATGTAAGTTGTGCCAAGTGGCCCAAATCATCAGAGAACATACAATCGTACCTAAGAACTGGATTCTAGTACTGTGGTAACCCATGGTTTTCTTATGGTCTTTTTTTTTTTCAAAATTTTATTGATAAACAGATAGCAATGAGACAGTTTCAAATCAAATCAGAAGTACAGTTTCAACAAATAACACACTGAATATATTCTTCTTAGTGGTTAATTACTGTACAAGATGCGGACTTGAGATCCTATTTACAAACACCATTAGAACAAATCATTCTATTCATTAAGAGAAT